AATTTATTTGTTTCATATACACCTTGACCTGAAGGCAATTTCATACAATATTACCTGTGACTTACTAAATAAGGACAGATGTGAAATTTTCCACTCGTGGTATCATGTCAGACCTCAAAAATGAGGATTTTGGAGCACTGCAGATTTGGAATTTTCAGGTTGAGGATGTTTAACCTGTATAAAACAATGATCCTATACAAGCCTATCACACGGCGCTCCATCCCCTTTTCTACAAAGGTAATATCCTATTTTAAACTTACCTTGGCAAAGCCAAAAAAATATTTATATAAAGCAATTTTCCTGAGACAAATCAACCCGAAGAAATGCAGTAACCTGACAGAGCACAAGCTATTGCTTTAATGAAGATTTTTGCTAGCTAAAACGCCCACCTGAGTTGAATGAGTCATTCAAGACTGAGTATCTAGAAACATTTCTAACATGCTTTAAAGATCTCATTTCAAACATGAAAGAAAATCCCTTACAGCTTTGAAATTCACTACTTCAAATACACTGATAATCTCATAGAAAGAATACATAATCTGATCATGATGACATAAATATCGATTATTTCTTCAATCAGTAAATCATTTCAAGATATTTCCTGGGAGGGGGGAAGTATTTTAAGTTTAAATATTTTTCAAAATTTAAATATACAAAATTTAAAGATTCACAATTAAATTTAATATTTTCAACTTAAAACACAAAAAGATATGATGCTGTGCATATGAAATGTCATGTAGAGAGATATGGAGTAGATCAGCTGTTGCTTAGATCTGAGGGGAAGCAAAATTAGGAACATGATACAGGGGTGGGGTTTCTTCACAAGGTGACAAAAATATTCCAAAACTGAATCTGGTGATGGTTACACAACTCTGAGTATACTAAAAGCCACTGAATTGTAACTTTAGATGGCTGAATTATACACTTAAGCACTTAAAAGGAGACAAGACTGTACACTTCAGAAAAATGGAATCTTGTTAGGTGGACACAGACATAATCCTACATACATATATGAACACTGGAATTATTATTCATTTCTAGAAAGTGAAGAAACTTACTGTCTTCACACTTAGGACCCTGAAGAATCACTGTCTAGGAGTAAAAAACTTCATAATTCTCACCATTATGACAATGTAAATTAATAGGCTTCCATAATGGAAAACTTCAGTAAATGTACCATGAGGACTCGGATCAGACCCTGGTGTTCCTTGCAGTGTCAAGAGTAAGACCAAGGGTTGAAGAGACAAATGCAGATGTGGCATAGGCCCTCCCAGAAATTCAAGACATTGCTGAGAGTTCAGAGCTCCCACGTAGCACACTTCTCTGGGGGCTCCAAGGGTCAGTCAATCCCAAAGGCCACCTGCGCACCTCTGTCTGCAGGCCCTTCCCAAGGCCCAGCCTCTTCGTTAAATGACACCAGTTCCACCTGTTAACTCTGGATCCTGAAATTCTTGTCCTGCTGCCCACACTCTTCCTCCCCACAGTGCCCAACAACAACCTTCCTCAACATCAAACTCCCATCCCTGGCCCTGTCCTGTGGTCAAAACACAGGCATAGGGCAACTTGCAAGACTGTAAGGTTCCAAGCCAGAAAGGACTTGAGGTGGGGGAAGTGAATGAGAGACGTCTATTCTGAAGAGTTCTTAAGGCCTCCTAAAGTGTACATAATCTAAATAAATCAGACACTCTGGGTTTAATAGGCTAGTGTGATCTACAAGCTGTCCTACAAGGTCCTTTCTTCCCCAAAAGTTTAATTTACAAGCAAGCACAGGTGGGGGTGTGGCTTGGTGTTAGAATACATACTCAACATACATGTCCTGGGTTCAATCCCCAGCAGTACAAAACAAAGTATGAAAGTAAAAAATGTGCGCCCGGGATTTAGCTCAGTGGTTTCGCTGCCTGCTGCGCAAAGGCAAAGACCCGAGTTTGATCCCCTGTACAAAAAAAAATAAAATTAATAAATAAAAAATGTGTGTATACATATATATGTGTATATATACATAGACGCACATACCTATATGTATATATATGCAAACAAACTTAGATAAACCCTCCCTGCCAGTAAAGAAAAAAAAAAAACTTTTCTTATGGAAAATTATCTTTGAAAAAGAGAAATCCTTCATAAATTCTTTTTTAGGAAAATATTCCCTTTAATAGCTTTATCAACTTTTAGCAAACATTCATGGTCAAAATAAAAAATGTTATTTTTTAAAAAGTAAGTATTTCAAATAAAACTGGATTTCAGAATCATTGAAGTACTTAACTACTACGGCTCAATGTTCTGTAAAATCCTTAAACTCTAATGCTTAAGAGGCTTTGTAATTGATTCCTAATGAACTAAAGGGCACTCTTAACCATTAGTGATTCCCACTTAAACACACATTAAAAGTGAATCAAATACTCAATAGAACCTCAGAGGCCACATTGTAATTTCTTACCTCCTGCACGCAGTGTATTCAGAAACTTATACTCACAATGTAAGCCATGAAGTCAGAAAGTGTATAAACTTTAGTATTTAACATGATATATTTTAGTGAATTCAATTACATACTTATACAAGGCTTTAAACTGAATAGTTAGTATATGCTTATTTTACTGCTAACAACTCACTGTTCATTCCCATACTACTCCTACCTGTCCACCTTTAAAAAAAAAAGCACAAATGAAATTGTCCAAGCAGCCACTTAGAATCTGGCAATAATGAAATAAGTCTCAAAAGTCATCTTTCACTCTTGATTACAGAACAGGTACTGAAGCCTCACTGCCAAAGCTCTTAAAAATCTTCACATTCCATGGAAACTATGTAGACAAAACCAAGACTTTATTTCATTCTCTCAGCTTTAAGCCAGCACAGTTGTATACCAAAACTAAAGGAATCAATGGGAACTAAACAAGAAGACTTTTTAAAAACACATCAAAGTTTAAAAAGAAAAGTAACTCTTCAATTCCATATCCTTACACAGTATTTATCTTTTTAAAAATAATCTTTACCTTTTTAAAAGTAATTCAATGGGAACATATGAGAATGTGTAAGGAACTGGAACTGGATTAGCAGTGCTGGATTCCAAATGGCTTTAAGTACATATTGACAGATTGGAACAGCCATCACCCCCAAATGAAAGCCCAAGTACATTAATATTGAATCCTCCAATCTCTTCCTCCTTTCCCAGCCCTAGGAACTGCTAATCTACCTTATGTCTCTACAGATTTGCCTCTTTGGGGCATTTCATTTAAATACACTCATGCAGTGAGATACTGTTTATAACTGGCTTCTTTGATTTAGCACAATGTTTTCAAAGTTCATCTGGACTGTAGTATGTGTATTTCATTCCTTTTCATAGCCAAATAATACTCCCTTGTATGGACATACAAAACTTTATTCATTTATCAGTTGATGGACATTTTGATTGTGTCCACAATCATTATAAATAATGTTGCTATGGACATTTATGTACAAGTTTTTGTGTGGACATATGGACGTATGTTTTCATTTTTCTTGTTAAATGTATCTAGGAGTGAAATTGCTGGGTCATATAACTTTACACTGAGTCTTTAGAGAAGTCCATACTGCTTTCCAAAGCAGTTGTATCATTTTTATTCCCACCAGCAGGGTATGAGAGCTTCAATTTCCCTATATCCTTGCCAACATTTGTTACCTGTCTTTTTGAAGAGAGCCACCTTCATTTGTAAAGCAGTAATTCATTGTGGTTAATGCTCAGTGTCTTAAAACAAACCCACTCATTCTAGATTGAGGACCCAGCTAGTCTTCCACGACGCAGTTCTGAAGTATAGAATATGTTCAATGGTCACTCTTCAAACCCAAAATAAGGCTAACACAAGATAGCATCCCTTTAATCTGAAAGCATTACTTCCATGTAACATGCTGTCATTCTATCTCAAATCTTTTCAAGCTACAATACTACACTTGATCTTAGCCAAAATGCCGAGAAGCTATCAAGCTACAATACTGCCCAGTAGTCAGACCTTTCTAAACAAAAATGTCAAGCTCAGCAGCCAGTACAAGTGCTACACAGTAGTGGGATACTTAGACATAACAACTACAAGGCTTTAGCCAAAATATTCAAGAGAGTACACTGTGCTGGAATTCAGGTTTGTCAGTAATCCCTATGCAACCTCATCAATCACTGAGGTTCTCTGGACCTGAGTGTGGTATACTCTGCAGCTCACAGAGCTACACTGTCACTCTCAGGCATAAAACTGTCTAAACCTGAAAGTCTGATGAAATTTGAAAATGTACTAAAATCCATGCAAAAAACAAAAACAAAAAACTAGCTTTGTTCAGCAGACTTGGCTTGCTAGTCAGATGGGCGGGTTCGATTTCCAGTTTTGCCATTTAGTAGCTATGTGCCCATGGGTACATTATTTAGCATCTCTAACTGCCGTTTCCTGATCTGGAAGAAATAATGCCTACTTCATGCGGCCTTACAGATTCACTAAAACTGCCACCGTTAAGGCATCTGACACTGCAGCCAGATTAGTACAGATACTTACATGTTGCCTCACCTCAATCTATCCGCTAACTGTGGGCAAAGTTTCCTAGCAAATAAAGACCTTCTTGCGAATGCCACTAAGGACTGGCTGTGGGGTCCTGACGGCCCGTGGGACTCCCTTGTAAAGTACTTCCCCACATTCTGGTCTGCAAACTAAGACACATCCATCAGATTCAAACGAGACGGAGGGGGATTCCTGGAAGGCAGCCCCAGGGATGAAAAGACTTTCACGGGTGACAGTAGACTAAAAACCTCCTGGGGGCCCACACACAGGCTGGGCAGAGCCCAAATGCAAAGGGGAGGGCGGCAGCGGCTGTGCTCTATGAGGCGGTGGACGCGCGGGCGTGGAGCGCGGGGCTCCGGGTGGGTGAACACGGCGCTGGGCGTGGAGGAAGCGGGCGTAGCGAGGCCGCTCAGGGGCGCGGCGAGGCCGCCCGCGGGGAAGCGAGCCCGGGCCAGCGAGGACTCCTCTGCCGCCGGCCTCTCCTACCTGATCTGGTTGTCGCGGAATTTGTTGAGATGCAGTTGGTTGAGGTAAATGGTGCGGGCCGGTGCCTCCAGCTGGTCTCCAACAGACGTGGCCCGGGACATCTCATCCTCTGCCTTCTTGTAGCCCGCAGAAGAACGAACGGGTCCTGCGGCAGAGACAGGCGCGGGGCAGAAAACAAAACACAAAGAAATCAGCTGCAGGCGGGAGGATGCGCGGCGCGGCAGGGCCCCGGGCACCTGGGCCCCGAGACGCCGCGCCCCGGAGGCAGGCTCCGCCCCCCGCCCCTCCCGGCCTCGGAGCCCCCGGGACCGGGACCGGGACCGGGACGGGACTGGACCGGCGGGCGGGGCGCGGGGCGGACGGTGGAGACCGTTGGGCAGGGCAATCGAGGGGCGCGAAGCCAAAGGACACCTAACCCCCACCCGGCCGAGGGCCACTGCGAGCCCCAGGGACGCGCTCTCGCCCCGGGATTTCTAGGTTGCTTGGATTGTTCTTAGTCACAGAGAGGCAAACAGCGCGGGAGAGAGTGGCTTCCTGATCGCCCAAATGTAGTAGCCTCGCCAACCCAGCCGTGGACCCGCGCGCCTTACTGTTTCTGTGGTTACCCCACGCGCCAGCCAGTCTCCTGAAGATTTTATGTTAGCCCCACAGTGAATCCTCTCTGGCGGAGCCAGCCTGTCACCTTCCCTTCGTCTGCACGAAAGATGCACTCGCTGCTAAAAGTGCTGCACGGACGCTTAGTCACACCCATTCTCCAACCACAAGGCAATGTCCCTGTCAGAGAGGGCGACCCGCCCTGAGAACTGTCCTTTGGAGCGAAGCGCCTGAGACGAGAGGTCACAGAAAAACAAGCGCTCTAAAGATGAAGGCTCATTTTCCTCAAATCTGCATTCACTCTAAAACCTGCCATCTTTTCCACCTATCAGAAATACGTGTTGCCATCATTTAAAAAATAAAACGCGCATCTTATTAGAGTAAACCCCGAACTGCAAAGAATACTGTTCATCGTCATAGAGAACTTTGGAAAGACAAAGTTTTAGCTAAATCAGTCTTTTTAAAGTGATTATAAGGATTGTAATCCTTAGCATAAGATATCGACAAACAAACCACAAAATCAGTTATAAAGAGCGGCCATGCTGTCCTGAATATCAGGTAAAGTGTAAGTCAGAAGCGGACTAAGACCCAAGTTGTCCCTGATGGGTGCAAGCTTGGGATAGATAGCAGGTCCCTGGTCACACCAGCCTTCTTTCTGCCGATTTACCATAGATGGATAATATTTTTGCAAGCAGCCTATATCAAAGAACTGCTTTTCTTTCTGCCACTCGTTTTCCTCCGTAGCATTTATCACCATTACCTGACATTACTTATTGATGGTCTGTCTTTCCACACCCAAGAACATAAGTTCTAAGACAGCAGGAACTTGCTCAATTCACTGCAGTGACCTCAGCACCCCAGAAGTGCCTGGCACATAATGGGCATTCCTGTTTGCTGGTGAAAGAGATCATCTTTACCCAAGTCCTATAAAGGGTGCCATTGAGTTCCCCACACAGATGCATGGAGCCCAAGCTACGCACACTAGTTTGGATCAAGACAGTTCCCTATCCAGACTTCTTCATCCCTCGGTGGCTCTCAGCTCCAGGGGCTCTCACAATGGTCTAGCGCCTGGATTCTGCCTTCACAGATGACATTACTGGTTGATTCTCATTTTTTAAGCTCGATAAGTGATTCGAATGGGGAGCCACAATTGAGAAGCACTTGTTAGATACAGCTGGTACCAAAAAAACAACAGATCCAGCTCTGGCCCTCTAAAATGTTTACTACCTTAAGATGCAAAGTTATAACCACAGGAACAACTGTCTCCACTTTGTGATCAAGTGACTAAGAGTGGGCTTGCAGGTACTAGGGAGAGTCACAGGTCATTTTCGGTTGGGGTGGGAAGGTGGCAAGGATGGGCACTGGGGACAGATAGAAAAGCTTGAAAGAATGGGTAAGGTTTGTATCAGGAAAGAGGAGGGCATTGTGGGTGAGGCCAAAGGCAGCTTAAGCAAATTCTGCCAAATACACACAATTTTATCAAGGACCAAGTTTTACAAATCAGTGTTGAAGGCCCAAACAGAGAAAGAACAGAAAAGAAGCTCAGAAAAACACAGACTGTGAATGACAAATGCCAGCTGAAGGCTAAACTTCATCATGAAGGTCATTAGAAGCCTCAGAAGCCAAGCAGGATAGAAGAGCATCCTGCAGTGCTGGCAGCAGAAAAAGAACAATCTGTAGGTAAGAAGTTCAGGGAAGGCCAGGCGTGGTGGCACATGCCTGTAATCCCAACGCTCAGGAGGCTGAGGCAGGAGGATCACTGTGAGTTCAAGGACAGCCTGGGCTACATAGTGACTTCAAGGCCATACTGAGCTACATAGTAAGACCTTGTCTCAAAAAAAAAAAAAATTCAAATTAAAAAGATCAGGGGGAAAGTTAATTCTACAATCTAGAAACAAGATGATAAAATTAAATGGAGAATGGGAAAAAACAAAAACATAAGAAATATCGCAGAAGAAAACTGTGCAAGATGTTGGAGGGGAGTTGAATATGCAGACTAGAAAAGGAAAGGATATTAGATAACCAAGGTTTGAAAAAGTTTGGTGCAAAAGCAAACAAGCAAACAAACAAAAAAATACCACTGATAAAAATTAGAATGAAAATAGTTTCTCCAAACAAGAATTTAAATGTTGCCTAACAAATACTGAGGTTAAAAATTATGGACACAAACAAGGAATGATGACTGAATTAATGGAAATAACATCTCCCACATGCCTAGCAGGTATCAGTGGTCACCCTGCTATATACTTCAACAGGGCTAGGCCTGGACATTTTAGTAAGAAATAGATAATAGCTCTCCAACACCAAGACTTAGATAACATCCTCCTCAGTGGCCTCAAGTTGACCTGCCCCTGCACTGAAGAAAAACACGAATATTTTTGAAAGAACACAAATTTGTATCATTTAAGGAAAACACTATACCATATATAGCAAAGTACGTACTGACTAAGGTTTCCTGAGGACGCCTGAGACAAATCATGAGTTAATGCATTTTGCAAATGTCACCATACAAAGTGAGGGTGTATGCTTACAACTCCCCCACAGAAATAGACACAGTGTCAGCAATTAGTGGGAGTTCAATAAATATCTATTAGTTGAGAAAGAAAGCAAAGTGCAAAATGCCTGACAGAGTTATTTTCTCTCAGAAAATAACTGAGAGAACCAAAGTAAAAATAGACAAGCACTAAATTTTCCCCCACAAAGGAGAAACTCAGACAAAATAGTTGATGGCCAGGTTATGAGGGAAGGAACTGTATCTTGCTCACAGTTTGTCCCTGCCCTGAATGCTGGGTAACATGCAGGAAGCACTGTGAAAGTATACATCAAATGGACAAATAAAAGGCTAATGTCGTAGGTGTCTTGAGGTACCTGCACCGCTGCTGCACCAGTGAATTTTCCCTTCCCTGTTTACTGAACCTCCCCCGGTCACTAGGAATCTGTCTTCAGAGAACTTTGATCAAGGATCCAAAGGAACCAGGGATTTAGCTCAGAGGCACCTCGCCTGTCTCGTAAGCACAAGGTCCTGAGTTTGATCCCTGGTACTGGGAAAAAAAAGGATCTAAAGGAGGCCATTGCTACTTGTGGCTGACCTATGAACACCCATGTGTTCTCTGAGACTCCCCTAGAGGGCCATCTTCCTCCCACTGAGTAGCCCAGTGGCCGAGGAAGATTTCTTTCACTATACACATGTAGCAGATAAGAGGAAAGACAAAGAAACAGTCCCAACAGCTTTTTGAATTCGGAGTCCAGTCCCCTCCTCCATCCCAGCTGTGTTGGGGTCATTGGTTTCCATGGTCCACCACTATCATTCTATTACTCATAAGCAGATACCTCAGCCAACAATAAAGGAGCATACAGAGAATCTATCCTGCCCTGTAAGATAGTAGAGCAAGTAAGGTTAAAGAGGAGGGATAAATTGCACCGCACTTATTGTTCACCTTGGGGTACCAAGGTTTTAGATGCCTCTAGCATAGGAGCCATTAGATGTCACAGCCCAGACCCTGGAGCCACAGAGGAAAGTCTCCATGATACCATCTGGTGTGCTGCTTTGGACGAAACTGAAAAGTATCTGGAAGGGGAATGGCCAAAGAAACAAAAGCACTCCTGTCCTCATCCTCCCTTCAGAGTTTCTGCCACGGTTGGAGAAGTGACAGAAAGTTATGAAATAGAGAGATGGCAGAGAATGCCCACTAGGAAACCATGAAGAAGGGGAGGAGCGGGGATCAGGGAGGGGGCAGAGGAGAGTAGATTCGCTGTCGATCACCCTAGTGATTCCCAGGAGCACAAAGGGCGCGTGAGAGACAGGGCGCTCACCCCACTGCTCTGGAGCCGTCTGCAATCCCACTTCCCCCAGCTGCTTGTCCATGGCACAGTGGTAGTCACACTCTCGGTTTACTGCATCACACAAATCTGCCATCACTTCACCACAGGCAATGAGGATGTGTCACTCCCTCGTTAGGAAGTGGGGATGATGGCAGAGCTCTCACAGGCCGGTAAGCAGGCAGAAGGGAGGATGACACCCATTTCCATTTGTTAGATAAACTTTCTATGGAAATCATTTTTTGAAAGAAAATGAAAAGTCCTAACAGGCTTTTAAAATGTTTTAGACCTAATAAATGTAATAATTATGATATATCCCATGCTTTTTATTTATCATTATGAAACGTATGTGCTATACAGAAGTAAATATTAGCATAGCAAACTGTAAATAAGTGCAGGGAGTTAAAAACTTTAAATAAGAAATTAAACTTACAGGGAGAGTTAAAGCAAATCATTACAAAGTATTTCATTAACACAGAAACAAAATCCTTCACTCCAAACTGTAATATTTTCCCTCAGCTCAACTGAAAATGTTCAAAACTCCAAAGAGATGGTCAAGATCTATCTCATCCATTTAATACTATCTCAAGAAATGCACTAGTCTTCCTAGGGCAGACAGACTTTTCTAAGTCAGTTCTGGGCTCCTTATGCAGAAGAACGCAACGTAGAGAGAGAGGCAGATCCGGCCTAGACATTATTATACAACTAAGAAATTGTCTGGTCTTTGTCCTACTTTCTTGGGAGGGAGTCACTAGATCCTTAGAGCTTCCCACGTGATTGGAGCGTCTTTGTAACTTGCCTCAGGGGCCTTGGTCCACACCTGGATCTCACAGTGGGTCCCCAGCAAGCTTTACATGGGATGTGGCCATGCCAGAAAGACCAATCATGTGATTCAAGGGCTTTGGAGTCAGGTGAATTAGCTCAACCTTCCAACCTCTAGGACAGCTCAGGTGAGCCACCTAGATTGGCGATGCACAGTTTTGTTCTGTAAAGGTAGCTTGTCCTGAGGTCATGGAAACTTCATGTTTGATACTTCCCAGCCCTTACGCTGTGTGTCTCTCCATTTGGCCAGTCTCAATTAATCCTTTTTTAAAAAAATAATTTATAACATTTTCCTGAATTTTTGAAGGGATAGTGAAAAGTCACGATTTATATCCGGTTGGTCAGACGTGCAGGAGGCCCAGGAGCCTCTGAGCTTGCGGCTGGGTCTGAAAGGAGTGCAGTCTTCTAGCGGACCGTGTCGTTGTCCCACAAAGATCACCTAACTCTACACAGTTACTGTTAAAATTGTACTGCAGATGTTACTCCATGACATGGAGCCCAAAGGGAAACCTTTTCAGGAATCACAACATACTAACTCCCAGGGAAGGTAGAATGATAAGCTAGATTTGAAGAAACTTGAATCCAGTTCTCTTTCTACTGGATCAGGCTGTTTCTTGTGAACTTAGGTAAGCAGCTCCCATCAGAGCCTTGATTTCTTTACCCACAAAATAGAAATTATAGAAATGAAGGGTTGGCAAATTTTTATATAAAATGAGTTAGAAAATATTTTAGGCTTTGTGAGCCACATATGGTCTCTGTCTCACATCCTTCTCCCCTCTCCTCCTCCTCCTTCTAATTCTTCTCCTTAAACTTTTAAATGTTTATATTAAAAAATCTTTTGTTATAGTTTGGATCCCCAAAGGCCATGTGTGAAGGCTTGGTCCCCAGCTAATGGTGCTGTTGGGAAGTGGTGAAGCTTTAGGAGCTGGGACCAAGCGGAAGGAAGTGAAGTCATTGGGAGTATGCCCCTGGTGAGTTCCTGTGACCATTCCCATGTCTTTGCATCTTGACTGCCATGAGATGAGCAGTTTCTTCTACCACACACTCCCACCGTGATGTCACCATAACCCAAAGGCAAATGACCATGGACTGAAACCTCTGAAACTGTAGCCAAAATACACTTTTCTTTCCTTTAAATTGTGTCCAGAATTTTGTCCTGGAAACCAAAATCAATTAACTCACCTTACAGCCCACAAGTCACAGTTTGCTGATCTCTTATTTAACGGAAGTTCTTTCGCCAGGGATTTAGCTTAGTGGCACCACGCCTCCCTCAGAAGCGCAAGGTCCTGAGTTTGATCCCTGGTACCAAAAAAAAATAAATACAGGGAGTTCTTTCACAGTTAACAACCTGAGCATAACCTAACTCCCACCTCAAAGAAATACTAGCTTAATTTTTATAAGCTTACATTTTCTAGCTTACATAGGGAGGTATTCAAATTTTATTACATGAATTATAAAGTCAGTTATGTCTTTCTCCTACTTTTTTATGCACTGTCCTTGAAAAACACATAAAGGTGGTTTTCTCTGGCTCCAGATGTATCTCTAGGCAGACACTGTAATAATTATAGAGCCTTTTAGCCAGAGGCATGCATACACACATATGCGCGCACACACGCACACATACACACTCCATTCATCAGAGAGTTCAAGTTCAACTCTGGCCTCTGTTCTATATTTACAAAGATGTCTCATAATCTTTTAGTAACACAGACATATTAAAAGCAGACCAGCCATTGGAGAAGCACTTGGAGTGATTATTTCTCCTAATCAAAAATACACAATGAAAATGCAAAATGTGCAAATGCAAAATGTGATTATTCTAGTCTTGGCAGATGCAATTCAGATGGCTTTTTAAGACCTCACTTTGCACAAACTGTGTCTCTCCAAATATAGCATCTGTGATCCACTTCTACCCAAGAATTCAAATAAAAGAATACAAAGGGAAAATTACACTAAAGGGTCAGAATTTCTTATTTCTATAAATGCTTATTGGTTTTGCTTTTCTCATTTTACAGGGATAAAGAAGATCCAAAAAGGTAACAAGATATAGACTATTTATGATTTAAAATATTGCTACGTGTTGAATTCATTCAAGTATTAAACACCTCCTAGATACTAGGCATTTGGGTAGAGAAAGAAGAGGTATGTATTCTGACGGATAAGCTAATATTTATTGGCAAGAAAGACCCAGAAATATTTTTTCAAATATTTCCAAAGCATAAAGATGACTGCCAGGCTATGGGAGGGCTAAACAAGTGGAATGATTTCATTATGGAAGCAGATGAGCTAGGCTTACAAGAGTGAATCTGATTTTCATACAGAGAAAGAGCGGAACATTCCAGGTGTAATTGCACGTGCACAGAGAAACATGCCAGTGATCCTTTATTTAAACCTCGCTGCTTCCTGTACTTTGGGTAAACGGTGAGCCATAGTAATTTGAAGACTTGTTTCCAATAAGCATGGCAATAGGAACTGGGCTTCTGTTCCTCGAATCCCATTCTTTACTTTATATCAAAATGCATCATGTAAATGAAGTGAAGACAAATCTGCTTTTAAGGAACATTTATTTCACATATAAAAACAACTATAAAAACAGCTATGTTTCAAGCATTCAATTCAGAGATTTTCCTTTATGGGCTGCTTTGGTGGAGGGTTAAAAATACAAGCTGAGTGACTTCTCCATAGCAGCTTGCTGTGTTAGGAAAGATATTCTCCATTTTTCCTAGGACCTTAAATATGAGCTCAGAGTGGGAATTCCAACTCTAAAATCCCATTGCCAATTTAATATGCATGAACACAATCATCTGCAGGGCACTGACTCCAGGAGGCCAAAATCTGCAAATGTTCAAGTCCTTTATATAAAATGATGTAATATTTGCATACAAAATACACACATCTTCCCGCAGAGTTTATTTCTAGATTACCTATAATATATAATACAGTCTTTATGGCATGGAAGTAGTTGCTGTGCTGTGTTGTTTTATTACTTACATTATTTTTATTGTATTTTTTCAAGTATTTTCCATCTGTGATTGAATGAATCTACAGTTGTGGAACCCACACATATGGAGAATCGACTATGCAATCTTTAAAAGTTAATTCTAGAAGAGGTGCAGGAGTTCTGGGAGTTGTGGTTTGCCTATCCTAAGCACTTTGAAGATGTACAACTAACTCTTACCCAAAGGCACATGGATTCACTACATCTAGCCACATAGCTAACTAACATCACTGGTGACCATTCCACGTTGTTCTTCTTATAGCTTTCTCTTCCTTCCTCAAAAACATCAATTCTGGGGCCGGGGATTTAGCTCAGTGGTTTTGCCACCTGCTGCACAAGTACAAGGACCTGAGTTCGATCCCTGGTACCAAAAAAACCCAAAAAACAATTCTGCTTCATATCAAGGACTTGGCACCTGCTTTTCCTTCTACCCAAAGTCCTCTTCCCTCATCTTTGCCTTGCTAACTCCTTCACATTACTCAGGCCTTACTTCTCCACAGATGTACCTCCTGAGCCTCACCCTAACTACAAAATTCTCACTCTGAGCTATTCCTTAATATCATACATCCTTTCTTTCATTGCTCCTATCTATCACTCATTCGTCTTTCTCTATTCATTTTATGTCTTCTAACATTTGACTTAAGTTCCAGGATGGCAGGGCCCATGCTCATGATAGCTACCTCTGCACCCAGAGGCATGGGACACACAAGTCATTCAATAGATGTGCTCAACACAGGAATCAAGGGAGCACAAAATTTCATGTTCTGCTTCAGTGGATAGAGGAAAATGCAACTCCATAAATAAAGGAATCAACTAATCTGCAACTAATGTGACCACGTCTTAAAGCACCACTCAATAAATACCTGGAAAAAATGGAAAGGTCAGATTTTGTTTGGACCTTAGTCTAATTGAAAAGTTCATGCAACCAGTTTTAGTTTCTCTTGAATAAAGATACTTTGTCCTCCTCTTGCTTCTCTCCTTTAAATGGTGCTGAGTAAGTGGAAGATGGGGACGGAGGTGTGAGATGTTGCTTCTCTCTCCTCTGCTCTACAAAGTGATTTTCCTGATACCCCTGCTTGGATTTGTGGCTCCAGTGTATGCCCGGTCTGGCTTGGGCATCAAAGGGCACTGATGTTTTCTACATGGTTCACCTGCATTCCTTCCCCGCCTGTGGCAACCACAGCACTGCCAGGCTGTCCATCCAGCCTGTCCATCCGTTATCATCTACAACCCTGCTAAAGGGAGCCCTTGCAAGGCCCAGTATCTTTCACATCAGCTCCCAGGGCCCCTCAAACATACAAGTGAGGAGTTCAGAAAAACTAAACTTTCTGTCCTTCAGTATTATCCTCACTTACTACTTATACTTCACCTCTGGTCAAGGACTCTTTTTCCAGAGAAGGAAAAAACAAGACACATCACATTTCTTTCTTCTCTCTCTACCTCCCACATCTTGAAAGTCAAAAGCAGAGAAAAGATTTTTAATGTAATTTCCCAACACTGTTCTTCTTCTAGATTCCAAACAATGCCTAGAAATCCCACTGAAGTATATTTTTCATGTAGAAAATGCTCAGAATCAAGCCATTCAAGCTTTTATAAATGTGATAAAAGGGTAGGAGATTAATCTAGCAAGTTCTATGAACAAAAGGCTCACTTGCTTTTTCCTGCTATTTGTGAAAAGTATAAGCTGAAAAGGCCCTGAGGTTTCTTGCCATTGCTTCTCATCTTTCCCAGGCAAGTGAAGGCTCTGAGCCTGAAAGTCCAATTTTGCATCCAAGAGAGAAGCACATTAATTTGCTTCAACTGCCACTCCAGTTTCACATGCACAGCAGCCTTTATGGTAGCTTATCATAGGGTCCTAACTTTCTTCTTAGGAACCTAGCCTCTGCTTCCATCAACAATATTAACATAAACTTCAAAGTTTGTGTGGTCAGATTTGAGCAACTGTCTTACCCAACTTAAAGGGAAAAAGATTTACTTTGGTCCATGCTTTCAGAGGCCCAGAGTCAGCTGGCTCTGGTGCTGTGGGCCTGAGGTGAGGCAGAACATCATGGCAGTATGGCATGGTGGAGCAAAAGTGTGCACTTCATGACAGCCAAGGATCAGAGAAAGGGAGAAGAGCCAGAGGGGAAGGGGCCAGGGAGCAGGCACACTCCCCAAGTTACATCCCAGTGATCAACTCCTTCAACTAGACCCCACCTCCTGTTTCCATCACATCCCAATAATACCGTGCAATTATGATCTCATCAGTAGATGAATCCACTGATGAAACTAGAGCCCCCATGATCCAATCACTTTCCAAAAGCCCATCAGCAACCAAATCTTCAATACAATAACCACAATGGGCCTTTTGTGGGACACATCATATCCCAAGCACAACAGCAAGTCAAAATGGAAGACAACTCGCTCACCTCTATTCTCAAATCTATTCGCATGAAATAGACATTTCACAGCATGATACCTTTTCCTGAATTTCTCAATGATCTGAAATTTTGTGTAACACATTCTCTTCTCAGATACAGAAGGGATAATGTTTAAAATATGGAAAAATCTTTAAAAAGGAAATGTATATGGAATCCTCTGACTGCCCAACATCCTCATCAAATTCAATGTAACCATATCAGTTTGTTTTTTCTGCCATGTCACTTATGGGGTCATAAATAATTATGATAAAAAACACAACTATCTTTTGTTAAGCCCATTATTATTCTAAGCATTCTATATGCATTAAAATTCCAATGCTTATGACAATCACATGAGAACAAGCCTCATTTTAGAGTATAAAATGAGGCAAAAAGTAATTAAACAACAAGTTGAACATCCAAGTTGAATTTTTTATTTGTTACTATGAAAGTGATTTGTATGACTATTATAATTTTGAGAAGAAGTTTCAAGAAGCTACCTAAAATACAAAACCATACAAACATTTGTTGGCTAATTGACTCTTTTATCCTAATTAGGTTTTGAGGTTGTTGTTGTTCTTCTTCTTTTAAAAAGAATTCCAGAGCCTATGCGCTTTAAAAAAAAGAAAGAAAAGAAGTCTCAACAGCCATTCTAAGCTCCAGACATCAATGACAGTACCCAGGGCTGAATCCAAGAAAGCCAAATTCCAGTCATTAGAGAGGAAATTATTCTGGAGTCAGGGACATGATAAAGAAGCCACCTAGTCAAGGAGGCAAGTGAAAAAGATTATGGCAGACAGGAAGTTATTTGATCACCAGAAAGTCCATACATTCTGTGTGCATAATGCAGAAATCAAAAATCATCTCTGCATTTAAAGAACTTGTGACCTACTGTAAAAACCAACCAGTGCAGAAAGAACTCACCCAGACAGAATGTGAAGTGTTTCCTGCCACTTGGAATTCCTTCCTCTCACCCTGTTCTCTGGCTGCCTACAATTCATCCTTTAAGACACAGCTTAGGTTTTCTCTCCCTTGAGAAGCCTGCTGTCCCCACACATCCTCAGATTGGGTTAGATGCCCCTCTTCCATGCCAAGGACCCAAAGTATGGCCGGACAGAGAACAATTTTAGGAAATGTCTTTCTCGGTCTCACACAATGGACACAGCCATGTGCATCTGTCCTGCAAAGTTCTTCAAATGCTGAGTGACAGCAATGTCAGAAACATACATGCCACAAAGAAATCATTTGGTTCTGAGAGTTTTAGCCCTTACATGTATGGAAATCACTCACATTAGCTTCAAACACCAAAGGAGGTTGGCAGAATGATGATGATTATAAATTATTTTAATTTATATTGTTAAAATACATTCCTTTAAAAATGCAAGTGAAGTCCAAATGCTTTTCATGTGCATGGTTTCACATGTATTGCCACAAAATCTTTCTAAGTACACACATTTCATTTAAAAATCATTAACTACTCAGCACGTAAGGCATTATCTAGATTCTGACCTCATCCTGTTCAGCCTTGTTCAGATGATGAGAAACATGACCTCAACCACAGTGCATAGAAAGAAACCCTGCAATGGCTGGCGGTGTCCTTCTCACCACGACAGACTGTTGAGGTTACTATGCCTGTGTTGCTAGCTTTCTGTCACCATGACAAATAACCAAGTAATCAACTTAGAAAACGAAGGGGTTTATTTTATTTATTTTATTTATCACATTTCTGGAAACCTCTATCCATGACCAATTTGGGCCTGGGATGACGATGACGTTCCCTGTTCATAGTAGAAGCATGTAGTAAAACCACAGCTTGGGTAAAGTATGATGAAAAGATATTTATTCATCTCATGGTTCAGAGGCTGGGAAGTTCCAGATCAGATCAAGCTCCGCATCTGGTGAGATCCTTGTTGCTGCATCATAACAGGGCAAAAGACATCATACGCCCAAAAGAAAGCAAATGAGGGGGTTGAATTCACCCTTGTAGGACCTCCCATGATAACAGAATAAATCCATTCCTGAGGGCAGAACTTTCTGACCTAATCATCTCTTCAAAGTTCCGCCTTTCAGTACATTTGGGATTAAGTTTCTAACATAAGAACTTGGGGGGCACACTCAAACCTTAGCACCCACCCTAAGCTACAAGGCTCTGCTGTAGACACACTGCCTTTTCTTCATCCTTCATAAGCATTTACCTCACCCTTACCTCAGGGCCTTAGTATTATTTCTTAATCTTCCAGACTCCAAACACTGATAAGCTTATCTATTTCTGAGAGGAACTGAAAATAGTTAATAGGAAACTTACAGAATTTACTTATACAATTTATAATTACAAAGTTTTTAAATTAAAAAATCTATTAACTTATGATTATAGTTGATAAAAGAAAAATGTATACTAGCACAAGGTTACTTGCTAAATATCTAAAACTCAGTTACCTTAGTGTCCCAGAGTTTGTCAAGAGACTCCTCAGAATTTCTCTGATTATATTTATCTTATATTTCACCAAGGAATGCTATCTGGCCCACTTACAAGCCTCAAATTTGTTTCAAATCCTAAGGAGTATCCTTATGTCCATCATTCTCTTCTACCCTATTACTCCTGGACTTTAGACTTCTAAATTGAACCCAGTATTTTCTTTGCATGCATGCATGCACACATGCACATGCACACGCACACATACACACACACACACACAAATTAGCTGCATATTGCATTAACTAACCCAAGAAGTTCTCTTTCTAATGTGTAAGTACAATTCTCATGGAAAAATATTTACTGTACCTAAGATTGTCAACAGATTTTTATCATAGAGAAGTACTGGGTCACAGAGAGTCTATGTCAGTTACTAAAACAAGTACGAATACCTAGACTGGAGTACTGTTAACATAGTTATGAGTAACCAAAGACCAAAACTTGCAGAAGATCATTTCATCATAGCTGTTCAAAGTGCAATAAATGGGCATTTGTGAACTATCAACATAATATTTATACTTCAATTTGCATTTATGTATATATTTTGAATATTAAGAATAATGTTGATCACATAAAAAAACCCAAAGACTAATACTGTGCTATCCAATATGGTAGCCATGAGCCATGTGTGACTATTGGGCATGTAAAATATGGCTAATCTAAATATACAATTTAGTCATGTTGTAAGTGCAGAATACATTGGACTTCAAAGATACAGTACAAAAATATCAAATGTCTTAATTTTATATTGATAACGATAGAATAATATTCTGGATATATTGAATTCAATAAAATGTACTATTAAATTATAAATATGCTCACATATTACTCTTGGACTGTACTAGTTTAGCAGTTACAAATTCATTATTAATAATTATTGTACCCCTAATCTGCTTCTTATATATCAATTACCAAACCAATCCTTTCTCTTCCCTGCACAGCCCGCCCCACCCCTCATTTAAACCTGTAGGTTTTATCTAAAGGAGGAACTGTAACTTCAGTACTAGCTGGAGGAAACCCCGACAGAGAAGACAAGCCTCTCCCCAAATCACTGCATCCTAAAGGTGAGTACTAACACCTCACCAAGCTATGATTTAGCCTTCTGGAAAACTTCCCATCCATCCACTTGTGATTTAGGGATCAGAAGCCCTGTGGTAAAGTCCAAGTCGCCATCAAACTGAAACACTTTTTTCTAGAACTTTAGTGTCTCCTTAGAGGTTAGCACAGTACCCCCTCCTGCTTATCCATGGCTTTGTTTTCCATAGTTTCAGTTACCCCCATGA